TAGACCGCTTAATTGGGGAGGGGAGGGTATATTCATATATACTCATGTTTATATATAACGTAGGAACAATAGCGTACAAAAGAAATCAGTCGGGCATAGGACGCATATATGAATATACACCCCCCCCCCCAATTAAGCTTCTAGCTACGGCCCTGCCTCCTCCCCTGGTCAAGAATAATCGCCTACTGGTACGGCATTCTTTAGAACCATGCTGGTGGAAATACGATTGAAATTTGTTGAGCTTGAACAGCTAAGGATCATCTAACGGCACAAGATATTGCATTGGGCTTTTAATGTCCTCGGGTGTGCATCTGGTTCTAGAACGCTAAATTAAGCATGTATGAGGTTACCTGTCAACCTTTGCTCGCTCGAAGTTTAGGCTTTTTGTTTGACTTAGCTGTGTGAGATGATGCAAACATAGTGCGCGAAACGACTGGAGTCATTTAGCGTTTCAACCTTTTTGCTGCATGGTCAATAAATTGTGGCTGTATATGAACACGCGTATATGTGTTTAAACTTAACATTTTATCAGATGTTTTTGAAAAAAAGGAAGAAAATTTCGTTTGCTACAGCCTGGTTGATATTATATTTGCGTATGCTTATAACAAACGTACAACATTTGGCGAGAACACGGTAAGAATAACATCCACACTAGTTGTGTTGTTCAGTATCTCTGTAGTCTTCTCCGTAGGCGATGATTCGTGATCAAATACCAGTCTTCATCGCTAATTCGTCTTGGCTTTTTCGTATAAAAGTTTAATAAAATGTCAATAGCCCACAGTCGACCTGGACCAACACGATCTTAAATCACATTATGACATATAAAAGAATATTAGACTGCCTGTGTTTGTCATTAACTATAGCCCCGTTTACACTACACTCGATTTATTGGCACGGCACGCCTAAAATGGGTACCCGTGCACATCTCATTCGTGCTCGGCCTTTGTTTTGGTAGTCTGAACACTAATAAGATTAGGCACGGGTACCCATTTTAGCCGTGCCGTGCCAATAAATTGAGCGTAGTGTAAACAGGGCTTATGTTCACTTGCGCGTATTTGTAGGTTGAATCAGCATGGACCATTTCTAAATTAAGCCCAACCTTGTCGTGGCTTGAGGTATTATTTTAATTATAACACCTTTTCATCTTTTTAATGATGCACAAACTAAAATTATCAATAACCAAGAAAAGTTCTTTCTAACAGACGAAGTTTGCATTTTTATCCAATGTTGCATGAACAGGTTGATCACTCTTTTACCTTTTCCTTTTTTTATTTTTTCTCTATGTACAGAGATTCACAAATGTAGAAGATGTGTTAGTCGCGTGTGTTCGTCGGTCGCTTTCCTACCCGCTCTATAGAAATTGGGATTTGAGTTGCCGAGTTCTGCAAGATGTTAAAGATATCTTTAAATATGGTAACTAAAGCTTTTAAACCTTTCAACTAGTTTAACTACCCTATTTGGCGCTATGAGCGTATGTACTTCATTTGAGCTGTTAAATACAAGCTACTTAATAGAACTAAATGTTTCTTAACCCTGGCGCACGCGGGTGAATTTAACACGCATACATGTTACTCCGGACAATTGTCACCTACATGCACCTATTTCTAGTCTGCGAGAACCAAATTAAGATATGTCATTCGTGCTCATTTTGCGACACGAATGACAGAATATCTCAAATTTTCCCCCGCGGACTAAGAATATTTGTAGGTGATAATTGTCACGAGTTAGATGTGTTCGTGCTAAGTTCCCCAGTGTTCGCCACGAACGTACCTGGGGCATAAACAGAATGCTCGCCTATATGAAGCATTTTCAATATCTTTTCTGCAACTTCGAGATGGATATTTCAATTTCTGAACCCGATGTTTTCTTTCCATCCTGGAAAAACGAGTCGATCACGATCCCTGTGCGATACTAGCTTTGTCTAGCCGAGCATGATGTTTTGCATGTCTGTATAGTGAGTAATAAATAACATGTTCGCAGAATGCTGAGCCGTTTCGTAGAGCTAGAACCACTGAGCTATATGTAATGATTCCTGAGGCATACGTATGCTATCAGTAGATGATTTTAAAACTTTGAGTGGTTTTTGTGTGACAAGTGATCCTGAAAGTGATACATTGAAAGAGATCCTGTTATTTTGTTTTTCTCAAACATTCAGGCCGAAGGAGGATTTTGAAATGTTTACTTGAAATTTTAAAGTTATTTAATGAAAGTGAACCCCGGTATCTACTCAATGAACTTTACATCACAGATTACTGTGTTTGGATACAAAAAGTGGAGTAAGTCCAAGTTCTTTTGTTATCTGGTGTCTGGTTTTCTTGTGTTTTCTTGGTTCCTTCACTTTTTGTTTGTTTGTTTGTTTGTTTCTTTTGTTTGTTTGTTTCTTTTGTGTGTTTGTTAGGTTGATTGTTTATGTGCTCGTTCCCATGAACCATGCATTGTTGCCTTTTGTTGCCTTGATCAGTGAATTGTTTTTAATTTTGTATCATTCTATTGCAGAGAAAAAAAAATCGACTCACTAGCAAAGAAATTATCGCAGGTAAGAAATTCAAACCTTAAAGGTGAATAAAAAATGCAGACAAGTGGCCCTAAGAATAAAACTTAGCATTGTTAAACGGGGGTTTATGTCACGAAGCATAAGAAAGTTATGAATGTGCTTGGTGGGAAACAAGTGACAAAGTCTATAGTTATAATGTTGGGGTCAAGTGTCAATTAGGACGCAAGTCCTGTTTCTTTCCTCTGCCACCCTTGTGACAAATGATTAAATTAAATTAAGTTTATTGTTTTCAAGATTTATGGCCTTGACTCTTTGAAATCCACTCAAAACTGAAATTTTGATAACATTAAATAATGGTAATCCAGGAGGGGGTTTATTCCGAACCAGTTTAAAAGCGTAGCGGCTGCAATTTTTTGCAGTAGAATCAAATTTGATGAACCTTTTACAAGCTATATAAGATTCCATTCAGCCAAATTGCCAAATGAATGGCACGCGGTATTTCATTACGCTCGAGGTGACATCCGTCATATGTGAAATACAAATTTCGAAAATGTATAATTAATAAGGTTACACCGCATGCACGAACTCCCATATTAAATAAGGTTATGTCGCAAATGAGTGAACTCAGGGATTTGACCGCGTTTAAATTTTGAAACTTAGACAGTCGATAAAGCTAATAACAAACTTTGCCGTCAATCTCAATTGTCAATCTAACCTAATCAATTTTTTGGCGCAAGCAGACTCTAGAGTGTCCCACAAAATAACCCCCGCTAGTAGGAATAATTTTGAGTACAAATTTGATTAACTCCAATTAGTGATGTTTCTCGAAGCGTGGTCAAAATAATAAAATTTGAAGTTTCAAACAACTGCTTTCCTTGTTTTTATACATCCTAGATTTTCATGCATCGTGAGATTCCTTTGTAATCTTGATAAACCGGTTTATACATGCTTTGTGGGCTGTTTATATATGACTCCGCTTAGCCGAGATTTAAAAGTAAAATGTTTTGAGGTATTGAATTTAGTAAAAAACATGATCATGGTGTAAGCACATAGGCAAGTAAATGTTTGCTTTCATAAAGGCGTATTTCATCACCCCAAAATTATTTCACGTTTCGTTTAATCTTGGGTAACAGGGCTCATGTAAACAGCCCCTTAAGAATATGTTATTAAAATATACTACGTTCATATGTCACAATATATACTACTTTCTTCAAGACCAAAATAACAAAAGAATCAATTAATTGGGACCTAAAGAGCTTGGAAACGGCCGCTGTCCTGGTGTACAATGAGGAGAAAAACTATACTTCAGATTCCGAACTGTCCTCCTCGGAGAGTTCAACGGACGATAGCGATGATGGTACGGAAAGTAATGACACTACAGATGGTGATCCCGCCGAAGAAAAATGTATTCATAAATCTGCCTTGAATTGTTCTGAAAATACAAACTTTTGTAGCGATGATGTGGTATCTGGCGAAAATGCCGCTGTTTCCGAGATTTCGGGATTGTGTAATGGGAGTTCTAATTTAGAAATTGAAAGAAACGAACAAAATTCAGACGAGGAAACCCTTCGTAAAGTGGAAGTACCGTCCTTATTGTTGTTTTCAAATCCCAATGCAAAAAGAACGTTAGTGGAAATTATAGATGATGATGATGATGATGATGATGATGATGATGATGATGATGATGATGATGATGATGATGATGATGATGATGATGATGATGATGATGATGATGATGATGATGATGATGATGATGATGATGATGATGATGATGATGATGATGATGATGATGATGATGATGATGATGATGATGATGATGATGATGATGATGATGATGATGAAGATGATGATGATGATGATGATGATGATGATGACGTTAATAATGTATGCTCAAGTAGTTGTGAAAATGTGAACTGTGACAATAACCTTGGCGTTGAAGTTGTCTCTTTGGACAAAAGGAAAGAAAACAAAGAATTAGTTTCATCTCAGGCAACAGATAAAAGCAACGAACAGGAAATTTCATCGGGAATGTCCAGACTTCTTATCAATTCATGAAATCTGTGTATATATGTATCCGTCATGTATTTTTGTTCTAATGCTCATTTGAGCATATTTGATGGATTTTCGCAGTATCGACGAACCTTTTATTAATATCATCATTATTATTATATCTTTATTATTATTGTAATATTGCCGTGAAACCTTTTTTATGCATGTTCTGAAAATTTTAAAATTAATAAAGGAATTCTAAATGTTTTCCGTGCAGGATTGCGTGATACTGCACGCGAGAAATTGCGAGCCTTCGGAAAGCGCTTTCCGAAAGTCTCGCAATTTTCCAAGTGCAGTGTCACGAAATCCTGCACGGAAAACCATTTAGTATTTTCTTTATAAAATAACTACAATAAAACGACAGTCAAATTTCCCGCGCAAAGCGGCATTGCAAACTTTCCGTGCAGGATTGTTTCTTACTATTCATAAACACAACAAAACTATAACTTTCAACAGTTACAAAATTTATTTTAGGATATATTCTTGAAATTTATTCTGGATTTCACATTATTTAGCTACAAAACTACGAAAGTTAAAATGTTCTTTAACTTTAAATGAATTGAATCTTGCCCTTGTTTAGAAGAAAATCTAAAGTAGAATATGTGTTACTACAATTAAGAGATATGAGTCAGTTGAATATTGAAATTAATTCTTTCAAAGAGGAAGTTTCCGTGCGCTGACAAGTCTGTCGCTGTTAATCCCAACTTTTGTCATGTCGTCATACTTTCCTGGTGGCACTGTTACTGTGGCTGTTGTCATGCTTGCATCATCAACAATATAGGTCATTTCCCAGGAATTTGGTTCAAAAACAATGCAAGAGGAGACACCATCATTTGTTAGGGGTTTGAACTGGTCAGCAATAGCTGCTTCCACCTCTGTGAAAGTCTAGGCAAAGTCAAAAACAACGCAAAATTTTAAATTTATTACGAGATACATTATCAGCGACGGTCCGCGTTGGAATAATAGAATATACATGGTTTGGAGACCACATAAAACTACAATACAACTCAGTAACTATGTTGAGGTAGATTTATGCAAAAAATTGTTCCTTTCTCATCTCATGTCTTTTGTATTTTACACAGATAAACCAATAGAAATCTTATAATTAACATATTTCAAGTCAAGGTTGAGGAGCTTAGCAAGACGAATGCCATTGGCATTGGTATATACTTTTGGCTAAAATACAATAGACACGTGACGAGAAAGGAACCATTTTTGCATAAACCTGGACAATAACATAGTTAATGAGTTGTATTGACTTTCATTTAGTCTCCAAACCATGTATATCCCATTAACTGTGGATCAATATTCAATAAAGAAAGTTCTCGTGTGCTCTTACCATGTTTCTATCATAGAAATTATGTCCACGAAACACGCAAAGGCCACCTTCTTTGACGTCGACGGTAAAAGCTGCAGTGATACGCTTCTTTTCCGGCAGATATTTGAAGCGTTCAGAGTCGGACAAAAGTGTTGCATACTCGTAATCGTACATGTAACCGTGTTCATTGTTGAAAACTATCCAGTTTCCATCTTGGCAATTCGCACTGACATAGTTTTCCTCTGGGTTGATGTCAGTCCTTGTTGACTCCAGTACCAGTCCCCCTTGTCCTGGACCTTCTTTGCCCAGAACTAATTTAAAATCGTGGCTGGGCGATTCCATTTCTTTAGGCTGGAAAAAACAAAGTTTAATTAGACCAATTATCTATATATTCGTCTTAAAAGTGCAACAATTTCGAAAAAGCTTATCGAATTTGGTGTCGATAAATGCTGCATGTGCGTGTTACAAGTAACGAGAGCTTACCAGTATACTTATATTTGATACTTATCTTCAGACAATTTCCTTTACAGCTCTCACGAACTATAAAGCTCAACAGCCGAGGATACCTCTATTTATATCAACTCTAGGTTAACCTACAGGGTGTATAAAAAAAGGTAAACAATAGTTAGATGTACTATTGTGCTTAATAACAATATGAATATTAAGTGGTTGCCTTTTTTGATACACCCTTTACAGATCATATTTAATATATGCCTAGACAGGGCCGAAACTAAATGCGTCGGGCATTTAATCTAATTTTGAAAGAAGAAAAACATGCACGGATCGATTCTCGTTCGTTTGAACAATATTTATAAACCTTTGCCTTGTCACAACCTGATTTAATGTATTCATATCAAGACTTATCTTTAATATCTTCTGTATTTAAGCACACATTGTTCGATTCTAATTCAGTGTAATCATGGTATTAAGTTTTATATTTCACATGCGTACAGTCGTTTTAGTTTTCATTAAGTACACAGATCACTTTCGCTTTAGAACGAGAACAAACGAATATGCATGCAGGGGCCGGTTGTATCAAGCCCGTTTAGCTTAAACGGTGGATAAGTCAAAATTAAATAACACTCTTACAACTCTCTTGAATGAGTCAACTTGAATATTATGCACTGAATATGTAGTTGTAAACAGTATCTTTGTATTAACGTCAAAAACATTTAGTTCGCTTGTTGAATAAAACGGCAGATTTGCTTTCTGTTTTGAACTTAACCAGCGTTTAAGCTAAACGGGCTTGATAAAACCGACCCCTGGGGCCGGTTGTATCAAGCCCGTTTAGCTTAAACGGTGGATAAGTTCAAAATAGAAAGCAAGTCTGCCGTTTTATTCAACAAGCAAACTAAATGTTTTTAATCTTAATACAAAGATACTGTTTACAACTACATATTCAGTGCATAATATTCAAGTTGACTCATTCAAGAGAGATGTAAGAGTGTTATTTAATTTTGACTTATCCACCGTTTAGGCTAAACGGGCTTGATACAACTGGCCCCAGGAATGTTAATTTCTTGTGAATGGTTGTTCATGTTGTTCATATTAATAATTCAGGATTATATATGAATCTGTCTTGTTTTCGAAATAAAAAATCACGTATATTTATCGATTGGCTATGCATGTTCATTCTTGTACATGCAGTTGTCTTTTGAAAAAAGCCTGAGTGACAAAAATAGTTCCTAAAATCGCCGCGCACTAAAGCTATTATCACCTCGTTAGTGATATTACTGATGATATTATACAGGGTGTATCAAAAAAAACGCAACCACTTAATATTCTAAAATTCATATTGTTCATAAGCTCAATAGATTTTATGCCCCTGGGATTTTAAAATGGCTTCTAATCGTGCATTTCAACTGCTAATAGTCAAATCAGTTAAACTAATAATGGTGCAGCTAACAACCGAACAACGAGTTTTTACTGTCGTGCATGATAACTTGAATGCTAACTGTCGACCTTGTAAAATAAATTGTAAATAAAATTTTACTCGTTAAATACTTTCAATTCAGCTCGTTGGTTTACGCACCCGACTTTGTTTACCGACGATTGTGCCGCTAGAATATGATCAGTACAAGCTTTCTCGCATTCCAGGAGCCAAACGTCTTTTGTGTTGTAAAACAAAGAGGATATTCATGAATATTAAGTGGTTGCGTTTTTTTTGTGGTTGCGTTTTTTTTTATACACCCTGTATAAAGAAGCTATTCGTTTGTTCTCGTGCTACGGTGAAAGGTAATTATACAGGGTGTCCGAAAAAAACCGAAAACTATTGAAATCACTCATTGTTAAAATTTGAATGTCGTGTTAACGAATTTCAGCCCGTGGGGATTTAATGCAACTTATAAAATGCTAATGCTTTGTGTTGCTAGAGAAAGGGGACATGTCGAAGATCATGGTCCTTGAGATGCACATTTGAATATTGTTATCTATATTTGTAAATTGTAAATATTGTTAATAAATAACATTTTTGCGAACAAGCAAATTTTACTGCATCATATGCATGCATAAAAATGAGTATGGTAAACATTTATACACCTGTGGGTCCCAACAGAGTGTTTAGGCATTCAAACTCTAACAATTATATTGTTATTGGTGATTTCAATACTATAGTTTTCGTTTTTTTTGGGACACCCAGTATATATTCTGTGTACTTGATAAAAACTAAAACGACTGTACGCATGTGAAATATAAAAACTTAATACCATGATTACAATTAGAATCGAACAATGTGTGCTCAAATACAGAAGATAAATTGAGTCTTGATTTGAATACATTAATTGAACAAAATCAGGTTGTGACAAGGCAAGGTTAACTTTATAAATATTGTTAAAACGAACGAGAACCGATCCAACTCAGGCCCTATCACACATCTTCTGCTTTCATTTATAAACTATTTCCGGCTAAAAGAACAAGTAAAAACCCATTAGCTCAAGTCTTGTTAAGTCAAGCTCAAGTCCCGCGTGATTTACGAATTAACGTTTCTCCCTCAAGTAAATCATTTCATCACGCGATTACCGTAATTTTTAACCTCGGTGTTTTTCCTTAATCTCGGAGACGTGAGCAAAAGTTTCTACGATAGCCATGCAACATTAGATTAAATGCCCGACGCGGACTTAGTTTCGGCCTTGTCTATGCAGCATATATGTGCGAGGAGCGAGGAGCTAGAGCCACTGAGCTTTGTGCTGATTTCTGCATGAGGCATAGAATCTTCTAACAGTAGATGATTTTAACAGTTTCAGAGGTTTTTATGAGACAACCTGAACTATGTAATATACATATGAGAGTGATCCTGTTATTTTGTTTTTCTCAATGTCTATTCAGATCGAAGGAGGATTGAAAATGTTTACTTCAAATTTTAAATTTGTTAAATGAAAGTGAACCGGGGTATCTACTCAATGTACTTTACCTCATAGACTACTGTGTTTGGATACAAAAAGTGAAGTAAATCCAAGTTTATCTAATATCTGGTGTCTGGTTTACTTGTGTTTTGTTGGTTCCTTCACTTTTTGTCGGTTTGTTTATATTGTTTGTTTGTTTTATTTTCTTTACTTTGTTTGTTTGTTTGTTTATATTGATTTATCAGGTTTGTTTGTTTGTCCCCGTGAACTATTGTTGCCTTGATCAGTGAACTATTTTTAATTTTGTATCATTCAATTACGGACAGGAAAAATCGATTCGCTATAGCAAAGAAATTATCGCAGGTAAGAAGACACGTTTCGAACTAAGAGGTGTATCAAAAATGCACACAAGTGGCCCCAAGAATAAAACTTTTCGTTGTTAAAAGGGGAATTGTTTTTAGGATTTAGCCAGGACCTTGCCTCTTTTAAATCCACTCTAAACTGAAATTTTGAGAACATTAAATATACTGCAAGATTCAGGAAGGGGGTTATTCCGAACCACTCAATGGCAGGGTGGCTGCAATATTTTTGCAGTAAAATCAAATTAATTTTTATTACGCTCCATGTGAAATCCGTCATATTTGAAATACATATTTTGAAAATGCATAATTAAAAAGGTAACACCGCATGCAATATTTGTTTCGGATTCGATTCTTTTGATTGGCAGCAAGTGGTAAGGCTACGTTTGTTCCTGAATTTTAAATAATCCAAGAATGCCTGAAATTTTAAAATAGATTGTTTATAATTTGCTTAATTTTATTTCACATCGACATTGTTTATCATACAAAATGGCCTTTCATTTCGAATCTTTCCAAAATTCCATGCACGGAAATTGCTGTTCAAAACAACGTCCCTGCGACCCTGCCCTCACGGCATAAAATCTTTCGACTGACAATATATCCTCGTCGGGTAAAGTTTGGACGCTCGTTTATTGACCAATCGAAAACGTTCTCATATCCAATTTAGTCCTTAAAATACATTTAATCTTAGGTTAAATATTTTAACCCTGGGTTAACTAACCCTACCGCTAACCCTGCTTTGAACAATACAGTTTTAACCCAGGTTTAGCTAACCTAGGTAATGAATTTTAACCCAGGTTTAGCACTAACCCAGGGCTCAATTTAACCTGCTTTTGAGCAACCGCCCCCTGAACATAAACAATACAGTTCATACTCATTTATAGATGCCTTGCGAACCTAAATGTTGTTACGTTCGATCGCGAAATTCAAATTCAGCCGGCACATCGTACTTTAAAAAGTATAGAAGTTCATTGTTGAAAAATGTAAATAAACCGCATGATACGATCACTTTATCTTAAACTTTGGAATATTAAATCTTCAATCCTGTGCAAACTGTGACGTGCCAAGGCGCCCATACACGACCACATCTTGTTAAACGGCGAAATAGCAGCGATATTTATAAAATAAGACCCGAATCTATATGTATTAAATATATTCTTACTTTGCTGTCATTTACGAAAATATTCAATCTGACGCTTCAAAGAATGTCCCACAAAAATTAAATAATTTAACCGCCGCTGGAAGGACTAATTTAGAGTACAAATTCTCTTTTAATTTGATGAACTCATATCTGTGATGTTTCCCGAATCGTGGTTAAAATGATAAATTTGCAGTTTCAAGCAACTGCATTCATTGACAAAACATGATCATGGTGTATGCACATAAGCAAGTAAATGTTTGGTTTCATAAAGACTTTTTTCATTACTAGTCTAGGACCTGTAAAGGAGTTTGTATGCATTTCATTTAGGACAGATTATCTCAACTGTTTTAGGGTAAAATGACCATGGCGGTCAACATGGCATATGCTTGCGACGGACGGCGAAAAACGGCGATCAAATTTGCAAAATATGGCTGAAATCGTGTTATAGCGGGGGGTAAGTGAAATGAAATATGTCGTATCGCAACAAAACATTGTTATTTCCTACGAAATTTATAATAAATATATTAAAATAAGCATGTTTTTTCATCATATGGCAAAAATTTTTAGAAAATAGGGAAAATTAGACTTTGCCAGGTGAATCTGTAATTTTATGCATAATTAGCAGTTGACCTGGAATAGTACACATTCATTTTCTTGTAAAATATGAAACTTAGGCTAATTTCACCCTCCAGTGACCACCCCTAAAAGCAACCATTCTGAA